AGACCCTTTTGGAAAGAGCAAACAATGGAACAACAGGGTCAACTTAAAGAGTTGACACAGATGACTTTGGGCAGTAACTTTTTGATCAAAAGCGCAGGGTAGATGCTGCTCTTCTGTGGATGGGAGCCTGCCATGGGGTAACCAATTAACTTCACAATCTTGATTTTCAATTTAGACTCTTGCTTTTGCAGCGTTATCACAAGAGGAACTGCAGATTTCAGGCCTCTTTATTTAACACCTATTCTCAGTTATTTCTGTTAAAATTTTGTTCCAGTCATAATCAGCTATCTTTTTTTTTTCATGTAATGAATGCATTATGTGAGACACAGGAGACCTACACCCTACTGAAGAGGAATATTTTTCATTTTTCACCTCAAAGCCCTTTACAAACTCTCATTAATCTAAATTCCTTCCACACCCCTGCTGAATAACCTAACACAAATGGAATGTCACAGTCGAGATCTCTGTGTGTATCACTTGGTCCTCTGAGCGTAGGAGCGAGCCAGATCCCACTGTGCATTAAAATTTCAGCAAAGGATTCCTGACAACCGCATATGCAGAATTGTCATAGTGCTTTTATTCTTTAGAGCTGTTGTCCAGACAGATGCTGCAGAGAAGTGTCAGAGACAAAATGGGGGTCTCCCAGAGAAGATACCAGAATCCTGGCTATTGGAGCTTGGGGACTGGAAATGTTTTTGGGTTTTTTGGCATGGTACTTTCCACTCTGAAGAACAAAATGATGTTTATCTAGTCCCCACTCCTCTGACTTCTAATGAGCTCTCCCTTTCTAACTGCTTTCCCTGCCTTGCTCTACCTCCAAGCCAGGGAGAGTAGGAGGGAAACTCACCCTGCCATGGTGTAGTAAGATTGCCAGAGTACATTAATGGGTGGAGCACCAGCCAGGGACCTTCATGGGGGTGTCAGATCTTCATGTTAAGCCGGGCGTTGCCACTCACATTCACCCCTGTCTTGAGGATGTGGTGCTTCTGAAGCAGAACCAGACGTGGTGTTTGCTCTACAGCCGAGGAGAAATTGGAATCTGGATCCTACAAATGCAGCTTGATCAAGCAAGAGCGGTGTAGGCTGGGTTTCTGAGGGCATGAGGCAGGGCAGTAAGGGAAGCCCCTGTAGTCTGGAATGTAGCGCTGCAGGTCTCCCCCACATCTGCTTGGCTGCTAGTTCCAGTTTCCAGACCAGAACTCGCCCCACAACGTGCGCACCCTTATCTGCTGGAGACAGACATTATTAAGAAATCCTTTTGTGAGCAACATACAAAGGCTCTGCAGTCTTTACGTGCTCAGTAGGCCACAGTTTTGGGAAACCGTGTATCAAATATTGGTAGATAGGATGGACTTCAGGACCAGACCCAGACAGCATGCCCAGTCAATGATTCAATGGATACAAACTGCAAAACATGATTGTTTCTTTGAAATGCGGAGCTAAAGAAGGATCCTGGGAATGTGCTAATGAAGGTAAATTTTATGAACAAAAACGTTATTGAAATTTCGAATAATCCTGTCATGCAATTTATTCAGGAAAAAAATGTAGCAAATCCTGAATGTCTGTCTTGGCTCCAAACAAAGCAGAGTCCAATTAAGTTCACAGTTACTGCTCCCTTATGAATTACACTTACATGGTCTCTGTGTGGACATGAGTTTCAACATGTGGAGTTTCTTTCCCATTCCCTCCTGCTTGATGTGGAGAAGATTTGCCCTCTATGTAAATCACTGGCAAGAGTAAAGCATTCAGCTCACTGCAAATGCCCATCTTCCTTTATTCAATAATGCCTTTTAGGATTTGGCTTCCTGCCTTTACTTTGCTTAATATCCTCCCTGAAATGTCTCTCTGTTGCCAATACGCTTCCCAACCTAAGAGCTGTTCAGCCGTATAACTATCTTCACACTTGGAAAAGTTTCATGGTACCTAGGCTGAATGTGCATTAAATGATACAGATTTTCTCTGCATAGCTATCAGGTGCTGTAAATTCTATTCCAGCTCTGCACCATGAGAAATTTAGAGACACTTTTTCTAAATGTAACACTTTACACCAAGAGATTTTGTGTGGAGACAGGGCCATTGTCTGCCATAACACACCCTGCCAGCTAGGTTTGCAGGCAGAACCTGATAGTGTATTTAATCTTCCATATCCATTCTTGCAATCCATAAATATTAAACTAGCTTTAAAATGATAGAAAGGGCTTTAAGCTTCAGTTTTGCAAGACAACATTGGAATAACTGTGAAGTTAGTCAGAAGATCAAATATGTTTTTATATGCCACTTGAAGTAATCATCCCTCCCCTAAATTAAATAAGTGCTTCCTTCATTCAAAACAAAAATTCCTGCAGCAGGGCAACTTCTCGCTGAGACAAGTTCTGAACTGTCCCTGCGTGTTGAGCTGGGGGGAGGGAGGCCCTCTTTTGACTCGCTCTGGCCTGCCATCAGCTTCCCATGATGGTTCCCGCCTGCCCCAATACTGAGGATGCACACACACACTGAGTCATGCCGTCAGCCCTGGAAGCCGCTCGCCAGCCCGCTTCGTCTTCAGTCACCGCACAGCTGATGCAACCTGTGGGCATATAAAGGCTCTTTGTTCAGAATCCACACTTATCTTTGTAGAAACATCTGCCACACAAATTGGAGATTACGGCATTACAGTACGAAGAAACTCCAAACGTGAGGACCCTCTTCACTTCTGCTGTTGGTTTGCTTCTCACACCACGCTCTCCTGCCCAGGACTACCTGGACCTCCAGTCAGGCAGCTGTCACTGACACACGACAGCAGAAAGCTCACATTACTGCAAGTTTAAATGTCGGTGTACCTCTTTAACGTCGTAAAACAACTTCTTGGCTGCTCATGTCTTACATTACCAATCACAACTCCTTGTGGACGGCGGGCCTGCCGCTCCACCACACAACAGCGTTCCTCAGCATCCCTAACTGGTACCTGGCTCCTCTTCCCGCTTCCCCCCCCCCCGCCGCTGCCAAACCCGTCTCACGGCGCAGCCATGAAAAAACAAACAAACAAACGGCATTTATCCCTGCTTTAGCGAAAGGGTCAAACTTATGCCGGGGGAGTTCCGCGGTTGTTTATCCGGATCAGCGTACAGCTGGGCGGTAGAGCGCTTCCTTCACCAGATTTACCTCAGGCGGGCGCGCGGGCGCCTCCCCGGGACTTTCTCTC